CAGCGCCTTGATCTTGGACTTTCCAGCCTCTGGAACTGTGAGAAATAAATGTGATTGTTTCAGGCACCAGTTTATGGTATTTCTGTTAGGGCAGGGGCAGTATATGGGAACTGTGAGCTCTCTGCAAATTTTCCAAAAATCTCCATCTGTTTTTAAAGAATTTACTTTGAAAGATGCCTGTTTTCAACAGAATAAGAAGATGGTCACCAAAATGGTAATTATCTCAGGGAGGGGGGAGTTCAGATCTTTTTTATTTTCTTCCTTATCCTTTCGGGTATTTTTTGGTATTTGTTACAGTAAAATTTTTAAATTTAAGGAGAGGGAGGGAGGGAGGGAGTAAGGGTGGGAGAGAAGGAGGGAGTAAGGGTGGGAGAGAAGGAGAGAAAGAGAGAGAATGAGAAAGGGAGGGGGAGAGAGAAGGAAGGCAGGAGGGAGGGAGGGAGTCTAAAGCATACGGGGCATGCAGGCCCCACCCAGCTCAGCCATCAGCTGACGCAGGGTGAGATGCAGGGAGGCAAATGAGCTCTCAGCGGTGCAGAGGTGCCTCAGCCTTTCCCCAGAGGCCTGTGTCCTTCTCAACCCTGGCGCAGGTTTGCTTGGGGCCCAATGAGGGTGCGAGTTCCAGCATCTCCATCCCAAGTACAGTGGCTCCCCCCTCCCAGGGCAGGCTGCACCCCAGTGCGCTGAGGGCTGGGGGGGCTGGCCTGTGCAGGTGGATGACTCAGGAGTGCTGAGAGGACCAAAACATTCATCGCCCTGGCCCGGGCTTTTCAAGTTTCCCCAAAGCCCTCTCCCAGACAGTGACTCACCACCCATCACCCCCACCCCCCATCACCCCTACCCCGCTAGACGGCAGCTCAGAGCTGTGTCACCTCCTGCTGTGGGGGACAGGGGAGTCTGGCCTCTGAGGTCCAGACAAGCCAGGCTCCAACCCCCACCATGCTCTGGGGAGCCCAAAGTTCTCAAGTCTGGGGCAGATTCCCCGAGGCTTCACTTTCTTGTGGTTTCTTTTGGCCTTGGCTCTTTCTTCTGCGTCCGTCGTCTCTGTTCTGCTCTTTGGGGACCCCAGAGAAGTTCAGCTCCTTTGTCAGTGTCTATCACAAAGGATAAAAAGCCATTCTCACCAGTCAGGGCTTGTCTGAGGCATCAAGAGACAGGGTCACACTGTAGGCGGCATACCAAGCCCTTTAAATAATTGAGGGCCTTCCTGGACCCCTCCCTGCTCCTCCTCGCCCCTCCTCCACGTCCCTCCTTTCCCTGAGACGCTCTCGCTGTCCCTGAGCTCCAAAGTGGTCCCATCACTTTGCTGGCCAGAGCGCTCTCCTGGGTCCCTCTTCTATCTACCATTCAAAGCTCTTTCAATGCACCACAGGCAGTCCGGCTGCTGGCTTAACAGGAGAAGCTCTCTGCTGGAGGCAGCTGCATCTTTTTAATTAATCAAGTAATTATTTTATTGAAGTATAGTCAGTTTACAATGTTGTGTTAATTTCTGGCGTACAGCAGAGTGCTGTTTATCTATTTTATATATAGTAATGTGTATCTGCAAATCCCAAACTCCCAATTTATCCATTCATCCCCTCCTTTCCCCCTGGTAACCACAAGTTTGTTTTCTATGTCTGTGAGTCTGTTTCTATTTTGTAGATAAATTTATTTGTCTCTTTTTTTTTTAGATTCCACATATAAGTGATATCATATGGTATTTTTCTCTCTTACTCTGACTTACTTCACTTAGTATGACAATCGCTAGGTCCATCCATGTTAATGCAAATGGCATTAACTCATTCTTTTTTATGACTGAATAGTGTTCCATTGTGTGTGTGTGTGTGTGTGTGTTTGTGTGTGTGTACACATACACCACATCTTCTTAAACCAACTGTCTGTCGATGGACATTTAGGTTGTTTCCATGTCTTGGCTATTGGAAATAATGCTGCTGTGAACATTGGGGTGCATTTTATTTCAGTATTTGTATTGAAGTGTGACATCCAGGGTGAGGAGTGCACACATCTATGTGGATAATGTGGTGAATTTATACAAACTGAACACACTCATGCAGCCAGCACTCTGGCCAGAAGGGGGAGCACAGCCAGCATCCAGAAGCCCCTCTCCTGCCCCAGGGAGAATCACCATCCTGACGTCTAATGGGGCAGATGGACCGCTTCTGGTTCTGTTCTTCCTGGTCAGTGGCTTCACACAGCACGTGTTCCTTGCATCTGGCCTCTTCCCCTCGGCATCATGTGTGTTGTGTGGAGATGCAGATCTCCATTCTCACTGCTGCATCACCATTTGGTGACTCTATCACAGTTTATTCTACTCCTGATCGGCATCTGGGCTGTTTCCAGTTTTATTTAATATAGCGCTGCCATGAAGGTCTGTGCATGTATCTTTCAATGAGCACGAGTGTGGATTCCTGCTGGGAGTGGAATAGCTGGGTCATAGGGGGTGCATCTCTTTCCACAGTTTTCCAAAGTGGTTGTAACAATTTACCCTCTTGCCACTGGTTTATGGCAGAGAATTCTAGTTGTTCCACATCCTCACCAACACGGTATTTTCTCTTTCACCTCTGCTTTTCTGTTGGATATAGCTGTGATGTTAAAAATTTTTTTTTCAATTCCTTTTGACCACTTTCACCCGTTTCACCCATCTCCCACCCCTCACCTTTGGCAACAACTTATCTGCTCTCTGTAACTATGAGCTCAGTTTTTCTTTCTTTTGTTTTTCTCCCTCAGTAGAGGCACTGGGGGATTGAAGCCAGG